GTTGTTGCTGCTGCTGTTACTGCTGCCATTGTTGCTGCTGCTGTTATTTCTGCTGCTGCTGAAGGTGCTGCTACAGGTAACGATTGCTGTTGTTGTTTTGTGGATATAATGTTTCATTCTCATTATGTCCTGTAGGTCACATGTCCTTCTCTGAACACCCTCAACAATTCAGAAAAAGACGAGAAGAAATCAAGTCTCGAAGTTCAGTTGCAAGATAATTTGAGCGCCCTAAGGTACAAAACAACCTTTCACTATTATGACTAAGGAAAGTTATTTTCACTGGATATGTGATTTTTCTATCATGTCTTGTGAACATGGAATAGTTACGACACTTAATCCCCTTAATCGTATGATATCGTTTTTACCCAACTAACCATCCTAACCACCCATAGTGCAAGCATTGTCCATACCAAACCCATAGGGTATGTAGATATAATTCTTACAGGTTTCTCTTTGCATTCCCAGGAAAGACATCGCACAAGTGATAACAGCACGTGTCCTAATCCCTGCTGTATCCATCTGCTATGATAGTATAGTCAATACAAGTCACGTGTCTATTCCACTGCTGATTGGTATTGTGCACGAGGCAATCACGTGCATGGATAAGCGTGACGTCACTTCCCATCAAGAACCGCTCTTCAAGTTCTTTTTAGTCGTGCTGGACTTCCGTGTGGTTGAACCACAGGTAGGAGCTACTCCTCACCCACCCTTCCCCCAATATAGAAATTTTAGCAAAGTTCAAAGAAGTTTTGACCAAAAGTGCGCGAGTGCCATGCACGATTGGTTTGAGCACCAAGACTCGACCCATGTGACATGCTAAACTTCTGTTACCTATTCTCCTCGCACCTCATGGTACATGAGGCCTCACAAAGCTCTGATTTTGGTTTCTGTAGTAAACCTTTTTTCATAGGAGCGGGTTATCAGCCTTCAGAACAACGCCCAACCTGGAGAACCAGTGACATGCTAAAGTAGTTTGTCAATATTTAATTGTCGTATTGCTTGCAGTGTGAACCAGACATCTTGGAAGACGTAGAGAGTATTGTCATTAGCACCATCTGTGGTCTTGTTATCAAAATGTCTGAAGCAACGTTTYGTCCAATGTTTCTCAAGGTATGTATGTAAGCTATCATCATATCCATCCATCTATCTTCATATCCAGGGGTGTTGTTGATTTGATATTAACGCATTTGTTTGTTTGTTTATTTGTAGCTTGTGGACTGGGCTACCAGAGGCAATGCTGACAGGGATCGTCTGTTGGTGTTTTATAGACTGTGTGACAGGTACGTTGAGATTATTGATGATGGAGGCGATGATGGTGGTGATGATGGTGTGGTATGGTGATGGTGATGATAATATTACGGGGATAATGATGGTGGTGATGTTGATAATGGGGAATAGATGATGATGATGGTGGCGGTGATATGATGGTAGTTATTGATGTTGATGATGGAGGTGATGATGGTGTGGTATGGTGATGATG